CTACCAAAATCAGCGTATCGACGAACGTGGAATTGTCGGCGTAATTGAATGGGTATGGAGTCTGTATGCATAACTGAAATTGTGACAGCTGTTCATATTTCGTGAAAAAGTGTCATGCCTTAGCTACTGGATGCCCCGAAGACTCGAATAATGGGGATGACTTTGCATTGAAATTTCCTTGAGCTGATTCTCTGGTCTATGGATTTCTACATTATCCGCCAATAATATCCACTGCTACTCCAGCTGGGTTCCTGCCAGCGCCTTCAACTACTCGGAGGCATTGACCGCCAGCCTTAGCGGCTCCCGCAGTAATTACCGGAGGAGCTTCGTCGAACGTCGGCGAAACCCTTCCAGTACCCGAAACCGTGACCGCGAATGTTTTACAATCCATTTGAATGCGTCTGTACACTAACAAATAACAAATGTAAAGTTTTCAAAGTTTTACTATTCTCGAATTCACAAATACACATACACTGAAGACTTTCAATGAAATGAGAAGGGCAGCGAAGTCTATCGTCCTTCATAGATATTCCTCCCTTCTTGCTCAACGACGCGATGGAGTTTCTTACGTACTCCTAATATATATTTAGCACACACTGTTGGAGTGAGCCATGGCTGCTCTCCTCAACTCCTCCACACTTCGTACATTTCGCTTTCTTCAAAGTAATTGTAATTCATCATAAGTAGCTTAACATAATAGAATGGGAGCTGTTGTAACCTAATGAATTCCTTCATGTTGCCCCAAACAAGTTCAGTTGGGTTCAGATCGAGGGACTCTGGCGGCCAATCAAGCAGGCTAACCTTCCACATGTCTAGGCGTGCACTTGTGTACACGCTCTTGTGAGCAGGAGCGTTGTCCTGCACAAGAACGCCATATCCTTAAATAGCAATTTCAAGTCTAAGATACACATGATTCACTGTTATGTAACTTCCTGATGATTCATCTAGCATGGACTGTACAAGGTGCTTACCACTGTAGATGTTGTTGCTGAATGGAATGTAACATCGTTCCAGAATCTGACAGTACTTCTCACTGTCCATTCTCATTTCACCGGGGAATATTCGCAAGTCGTAG